TATCAATCTAACATCTCACACCAAACCGAAACTACTCACAGCCCTAATTATGACCCCTTGAATAATTGTAACAGTAGCCTGTAACATAATACATTTAGGCTAGACATTGTTGATCAGGACCTAATCCGAACAAAACATATAAGAGAAAGAGGCGAAATGGAGTACTTGAAACTAGAAATGGCTTAATAAGGCCTGAAATAAGCCGGTTACGAATGTTTTAACAAACTGAGGGGAAAACTAGAAAATTCCAATTGCCAAATGAAACAATGTATGACGCAAGAGGGTTTATCAAACTGTGGATAGTTTGAAGGCGATTAATGTCAGATATAAAGTTTAAGGAGTTAGGTTTACAAAGCTTGGAGTTATTTGATTCGGAAAAAGGTGTTTTGCTTGGGCTGTAGCAATAAGAACTCTATCTGTTCTGACTAGAGATGTTTCGTTCCAAACCGTGAGAAACTTGGTCTATGGAGACAAGTTGGGGACACATAGAGCATTTGCCATTTTCTAGACGTACATAATCTAGATAGTATCAGTAAGATAAATGGCAGCCAGGAATTAATTGACACTTTTTATTTTTACTTCATACATTTTTCAATTGACTCGTAGAGTCTAACAGGGTTACTAATACAGAATAACCCAAGAGGTATTGTTAGGTGAACATGTTGATAGTATTGTCGTAGTTGGCACTCCAGATGCTATAGAAAATATCGAAAGAGAACCGAAAAATATTTTGAATAAGTGTGGTAACCCATAAAGATGCTAGAAATTGAAATGAAATGGGAAGCCGGTGGTAATATAATATAATAGCCAAGGCGATCACCCCACAGGATAAAACTTACTACGAGCAGAATTCACAAATGGGGCCGGCGGAATGTAGAAATAATTAATGAATTTTTGGAGGATTACCTTTTATAACACGGATGACCAGAACGGATATAGCTATACACATGAACCCATGAAGAATACGTGCGCAAACCCCAAATAAGTTGAATCTGACAGCAGCTAAGATGTTACTATCTTATTTGTTGAGTACAAGAATGGTAGGTTCAAGACTTTGCAAGCCCAGGATTGTCGAGGTATAAATCATAACAGACGCTTCATATGAGGAGAAGAAGTAATGTCACAAATTGGATGCATGAACTTAGTGGAAAAACAGCCCATATGGCGGTGGACTTCCAAGCAAGAGATAATAGCATAATCTATCACAGAAGCTGTCATGAATCTGTTAGATGTAATCGGGATGTGGTGGCGCAGGGGTTACTTTGTTCATTCGGTTAGGGCTGACGCAACGGAATTTAGATTTGATCAGGCTGGAAATTTGTACTTGTTATTTAGTTCTAACAACTTTTTGTTTTTTGCTTGAATACAATTTGCTTGTTGGGCATTCGCTATTTTGATAATATGATAATCTGAACACATGAATTCGTAACTTTGATAATCCGAGCCTCGATCACCTTCACTTGTCTCCTCGTCATCAATCTGCACCTTCGCACCTTCGTAGCCTCGAACCTTCGATAATTTGCCTTCGTCGAAATCGACTCGACCTCTGCAGCTTAACAGCTTCGAAAATCTGCCAATAAGTAGATTCATAACAGAAGCAGAGTAGATGGCAGCAAGAGAAGGAGCAAAAGACGCAGTATGGACTAGGCAGATACTGGAAGAATTATACACAAACCTAATCCGAATAAATGTGACGGAAACCGAGTTAATGAATAAATCGATTTATTAAACTATATGAAGAGAAAATAAATCTGTAGCTACTACTAACAGGTACTTATAACTTTTGGGGAACTATTCTCAACACCTGTCAGTGGTGTCTCCTACGAACCTCCAGCTCTCGCTGTAGAGTCTGCAGAGCCGAGATTGAGTAACACCTTATCAACTTTGAGCTGAGTTATCTCCCCCTTCCTCATAGATACGCTTCCGATAACAAATAAGACAACGATAATGATGCTGGGAATAAGGAAAGATAATGCGGTACCAAACGCTACAATTTATTCAAAGAAGCCCTCGTTATATCACCACACGTGCTACCCACTGGCGGGCGAACAAAAGGCCCACGAAAGCAAAGTAAAGGACCCTCCCGCCCTCAAGAAAAGCAGATTTCAACTCGTCAATAGTATCGTTCCTACTAATCTATACCTCCGAATCTACTAGCCAGGAGGGCATCTGAAATGCATGAGTTACTTGACAATCTCACGTCCGTAACGAGTTTTGGGTGCCAGGCTAGGCTCCTTCACAGCAGTCACTCTCGACCAAGACTTGTCTGACATCCTTTCACGACCTTCGGTTTTTCCTGTGATATGAATCAGGGAAAGAGGAAGGAGGAGGCTAGGAAGGTTGAGAGACGCTCTTTGGTATACACAAGTTTGCTCCGCCCGGCTGGCCGGCCTCTTCGTCATAGGAGAGCCCCGCACCCAGTGGTTTTTGAGGCTTTTCCCTGTAGCTACACACCTACAAATGGCCATCGTTTAGTTGGCTGGAGAGGGGAGATAATGACGGGATAAAGGCTCCTCTTAGTGTGTACTCAAATGAAGACCTGTGGGGTTATTACTGCTGGCAAGAAGTCGTGAAGGAGGCATAGGAGGGAGTACACTACCCGAGGCATAGATACTCCTGGCCTGTAGCCAGAAAGGACCTACATGTCCTTACATAGTTATAGACTTTTTAGGACAATAAACAACCACTCACTTATAACGTTTGGTCCGCTTCGTGAATATGCTGACTGATAATTTTCCCCTAGGCCTAATACTTGCTATCGAGCCAGGTATTATCAGGAGCCATTACGCTATGATTTTGCTTCAACCTCCTAGCTAGTGGTACCATTTCATCTTTGTTAAGGTAAAATCAGTATATAGTTGATTATTGATTTAATTATTAGGGATGCTAGACGAGATTTCTGTGTGTACAGATGCCAAGACACTATTTAGCCTCATACAATCGACACTAAAGATTTCATGCTAATTCTTAACAATATATATTTGTCCATCCTTCCTCTTTCAGTCTTATCGTACTTATTCCTAATTGAACGCTTAGGCTTCCCACTAAGCTTAGACAACAGTCAAACCGTAAGAATATACAAACGCTGATCACCGAGTCTGAATGAGACTATAAGTTCTAGAAGACAAACAAATTACCGCGAAGAATTAGGCTTATAAAAGTTTGATTTTATTCACTACGACAAAAAAATCAAAATTGAAACCTGATTATCAAAACAAAACACGTAAAAGGGAATCTGGCAGACCCACTGAAAAAATTGCCCTCCTGAGCTGGGGTTGGGGATTGGAAGATGGAAATTTCAATGAGTGGATAAATAAGCTAACATATCACAATGTAGGAACGATCGAGAAGAAGAGGCTATAGGAATACTTTTGCAGAGTACCCTTAATTATGGTTGGAAGAACTCAAACCCGAAACTAATCAGGAAGGAGTCAAGGATTAATTATGGAAGTAAAGGTGGTCAAAGCTGGCGTAGAAATCCTCCCTTCGAGGTGTTAACCCTTTAAACTAGAGGAGTCCTTAGAGATATAGTTCTTATTGTATCAAAACAATATAATGTATTTTTTAGTCTATCCGACAGAAACCCTTAATTAACTGTCTCTCTGAACTCTCAATCTAATGGTGCGAATCATAGGAGGATTAAGGGGGAAGCTAGGTAGGTTGAGAGACGCTCTTAGGAGGGTAGATTTGTCTTCAAATTTAGTTATGATGCCAGTAGTAAGAGAGACCCGTACCCACTGGAATTGAGACTTTTCCCTGAAACTTTACAGGCGCAAGTGGCCATCATTTCTTTGACTGGAGATGGGAGATAATAACGGGGCTACAGCTCCTCTGAGTATGTCCCCAAATATATACCCCGGAGGTATTACAGGCGGAAAGAAGTCGTGGAGGCACTGGAGGTGGTTGATTGCCTAAGTTGTAAATGTTCACGATCTGTAAACAGATGAGACGTACATATTCTTACATAATCATAGGCTCAAAAGGACAATAAACATAGAATAAACAAGAGCCCAAAGCAGTTTGGCAATGCAAATACGAAGTGAGCACATGGGGCTTAACTCATATTTACATAGAAGAAAAGTACCCGGAGTATTGAGTTCAGGTTGTCCATATGGCTACCAATCACAGAACCTCAAACATATGATTATGTCCTGCCCCCGATGGTCAAATGGTAGAGCTGAGATCTGGAGACAAGCCAAAGATCGTTCCTACGAAGCGATGATAAATAATCCTGGAGATATAAAAAGGATAACACAGTGGATCCTTAACCATGGTTGGATAGAGCAATTCCAGATGACAAAGGCGGCCGAAATGCTGTTGAGGGAAAAGAAGGGGTCAAATAATGATTGGGGCGGATAGAGATGATCTAGTTAGTTTATATGGATGGCACTACAGTGTAACTGCGCTTCCTATATGGAACAACAAAGATGGGAAAGATTATTTAGGGGAGTTTGATTACTTAGTGTTAATGTTAGATAAATTGTCATAGCTAAATAGCTGAATACAAAATGAATTAAAAAAAAAAAGTGCGCTTCCTGAAGAAAATATGTGAGAACTATAGACAACAAGTAGAAAGATGTGGGAGGCTTTCACCATAAAGGTTACCTTCCGGGTAAATATTGTAAACTGTAGACACCTGCACGGGCCCATAGGGCGCCAAATCAGGATAATGAAATTAAATTCAAACATAGAATAATTAAACTAAGGCTTTGATTCGATGCCTAGGAAATCAGGTATATACAATAAACTGCTTGGGTGATGTTAGTAATTACATCTAATAGGTAAATTAGGTCCCTTGCATCATCAATTAGCCTTACAGATACGAATCCAATCGAATTTCCTCTTCAAGGCAATCTATCATCCTAGCCTTCTTAATCGACTGTAGTGCACCAGCATGAAAATCTGAATACACGCCCTAAGACCTGGCCTTGTCGTGCGCCGGCGAGCTCCTATCAACTGGGGAGGGGAGTTCGGCTAATGTTATTCAAGCGTGAAATCAAATGATAGAAGAATTAAATCCTAGACCATCTAGAGAAGAGATGGCATGGCAGTCTCTGTCAGGGCTGGGCTCGACTCAGGGAAATGGAGCCAGCGGGCCTACAGAAGCACAGCAGCAAGTCCCGAACCAATCTATCGGAACGGAGTACACACTTCAAGGTATTTTAGAGTCTACAATATAAAATTACTCACAATTAACGATGAAAGGTGTTATGCGATTTCTGCAGACTGAGTGGCATCGACATGAACGCGATAGAAACTCCTGGGAGATTGAACGGCAGGAAATGAAAGGGAGGATAGCAAAGCTTGAGGGAAGCACGCGGAAAAGTGATGCTGGAAATCGAGCCTTAAAAAGATATATCGAGATTCTGGAGGTGGCCCTAAAAGATCGAGATAAACTTGTCCAAGACTTGCAGGCTGAAAGAGATGGTATTCCATCAACGGGAGAAAGAAAAGAAAAGATTTATCAGAATATCAGTGAAGATGGTAAGTATCATCTTCTGGACTCTTTACATCATTGATAGTCTCTAGTACGACCTGAAAACCCTTTGAACTGGAATCAGAGCGTCAAAGATGCCGAAAAGAAGTCAAGCGAAGATCCAAGTCGAGAAAGCATGAAAGAATTTCTAGATAAAACACAAGGAGAACTGACGTATTTAATGTTATCGCCCTTGAATCCTCTACCGCCCAGACAGGCTACAGATAACAACGCCTTACACCCCACATTTGGGGCATACTCGAGCCAAACAGGCCCAGAAGCTGCTTATCAGCACCAAAATAGGCAAAGAAATGTGCATACCAATATTCCTCGTTCCTTATCAAGATCTCACCCTTCATCTCAAACACCTATCTCGGAATTCTGCAGCTCGCCTGATGAACAACAGTTCCCAAATAGTCGTGCTCAAGAGCGAGACTCCAAGCAAACAGCCCCCGGCCAATCTTCTGAAGAAAGAGTAACACAAATAAATCATATTTTTGATCAATATGGCAGGGAAATGAGTAGCGACGAAGAAAAAAGAACAGAAGCAAACGGATGGAATTTCAACGATGCAGTAACTTACCCCGACGCGGATTCTAAAACACATCGGCCTGACACCGACTTATTTCCTGTAGCTCAAGATCCGCCAAGGTCCCCTAATCGAGTGGGATCTAATCGAAGAAAAGGCCTATCATCGCGCAGGAAGTTTCTAGAACAAGAATCATTGCAAGGAGTTGATGGAACGGATGACTGTAATTTTAAAGTTAGATTTGGTCTGAGAGGGCACCTTGATGCAGTTCGCTCCGTAATTTTTACAGGTGGTGGAAGTCCAGGTGAACCTGAGATCTGCACAACTGGAGATGATGGAACAATTAAACGTTGGATTATTCCTGGTAGATACGAAAGCCAGGGAACGCAAAACAATGACCTGGATATTCAGAGTAGCTTTACACACCGAGGTCATTCTGGTGCGGTTATGTGCCTAGCTTCATGGTCGCCATCTCAAAATATATCAAGTGGTTGTCGAGCGCAAGGTGATGGCTGGATATTCTCCGGCGGACAAGATGCTACAATTAGAGTTTGGGAACGAGGCAGAGTTGATCCGAAAGCTGTACTTGATGGTCATACCGATGCTATTTGGGCTATTTGTGTCTTACCTGGGACTGCTAGCAGTGTTATGGGCCAGAGCAAACCCTCATCTGGACCAGGTCGGATACTACTGGCGTCGGGAAGTGCAGACGGGACTGTAAAAGTCTGGTCAGTTAGCGCGCCACCGCAACAAACCTCACCGCAACCAGGAGGTAGACGCGGTAGCCGTGCAAGGGGAAACTCAATGTCTTCAGGATCCGGCTTCCCGTCTTCTCCTCAACCTAGTCTTGCTTCCAATTCACCTTTTAATTACACACTTGTTCACTCTATCTCGAGGCCAAATAGCACTGCGTCGCCAACATGCATTACCCCATTATCTGCATCCGAAGATGCATTCGTAGTCTCATATGCAGATGCAGCTGTATTAATATACGATACCCGAACCGGAGAAGAAATAATCTCGATGGCTAGTCTCGAAACATACGATAATACAATGGCAACTGGAGTCAATGCTGTTGTTGCATCTACGATAGACCCAAATGCTTTTTTTTGCTTAGATGCTGGCACAGAATATATAGAAGACGAGGATATAGTCATGGGAGCCACTGGCTCGAGTGGTGTAATGGAAGGTATTATTATTTCTGGTCACGAAGATCGATATATTCGGTTCTATGATGCTAAAAGCGGTAAGAAGCTGATTACAGATTCATCGCTTTATGTAGCTAACTTTCCAGGTCAATGTACATATAGCATGTTGGCACATCCAGCCGCAATAGCAGCTCTATCCCTATCTCCAGATGGAAGAGAACTTGTCTCTGCAGGACATGATGCGAGCCTACGGTTTTGGAGCCTTGAGAAGCGTAGCTGTATCCAGGAGATAACTAGTCATCGACTAATGAGAGGCGAAGGCGTTTGCAGTGTAAGTTGGAGTAGAGATGGAAGATGGGTGGTAAGCGCTGGTGGGGATGGAGTGGTAAAAGTTTTTGCAAGGTGACTGAGGATTTTATCTACCGGTGCATGGTGATTTACAAGGTAAAAAACTTGGTTGTGTGCAGATGACATTGTGGACTTAACGGGACTTAATCAGAATTTATGGCTAGGGTAGATTAATGTACGAATAACTTTATATTCCCTATCTCACAATGTAAGCTAGATGACAAATATTCACAACACACAAGCCTTTCGTAGAATTTTCGATTCCATTGGAATGTGTCAATGTAAACGTTAATGTTGATATCTAATCAATCAATTGTTTTTACTGTCAAAGCCAGCCAGAATTGTCGGCAATGACGAATTCTTCACCTTCCAGTGGTGCCGGTGTAATCGCTCATTGTGCCCTGCATATCTGAGATAGCCAAGAATAATCGCATCCGAATCGAAGTCGAAAGCACTCACAAGCACATCTAAAATGGACGACTTCTCGTCAATGTCGGATCTATCATTCTCGCGCGAGTCCTCCACCTCAATCTTACCACACCAACTCGCCTCAAATACTGATGATGGCGTTACTGCAATTGCAATCGGGTATTTGCCTCATCAAAAACCGGCAATCTCCCATTATGCATCTACGACGCTATGTATATCCGCGAAGGAGAAGCTAAGTCACAATATACAAAGCTCTGGTCTTGGTATATGGGGGACTGTTGCCCTGATGGGACTATACAACTTGAGGAAAGACAGGCGGCTGAGATATGGAGCGAGAGTGGGAAGGGATTTCTGAAGATCATGCTGGGACTGTCATTTCCGAGGGGTTTTCAACTTTGGATTTTTTGTAGCCGCCAAGACCAAGATTTTATCCAATTATCTAGGAGGGCTTCTTTTGTCCATGGGTCAACGGCACTCCCTAGCGCCCTGGACGGCACAAAAGAAGATGGGCTAAGCTGCCATGTAGCAATCACGCTCTGTCAAGACTTTTCTGACATTTCAGCACGACCTTCGGGAAGGAGTTGGAAGGAGGCTAGAAAGGCAGAGGGTGAATTCTCCGAGGTACCCACAAGTCTGCAGCTCCCAGCTGTCCGGCTTCTTCGAATGCTCCAGAAGGGTCACTATGTCTTCTGATCTAGACCTAGTGTCGTTAATAGGAGAGCATGGCACCCGGTGACTTTGCAAGTTTTCCCGACTGACAGATACCCGCAAATGGCCATCGTTTTGTTGGCTGGAGGGATAGATGTGTTCATTTTACTACTTGATTAATACATTGGCTAGCACGCTGGGCTCCTCTCTGACCTAGGTCACACCTTGCACAGTGCTTCTATCCTCTTCTGTTGCTTAAAAGATCATTGATATATTCCCCTTGATGAATAGCCATTCAGCTCAGTGTTTACCCGTGGAGTTCGGCCACCTTTTCCACGGAACCTTCTACCCAAAAGAATAAAAATGGTAGCAATGGAAACTGGGTGCGCGTGAAAAAGTCTAAAAAACCCTGCAGGCCCAGCCGGGCGAGGCCTAGACACCGGGACCACATGAGGTGCGCATATTCATCTATATCTCCCTTCTCTGTAACAGTCGAGGCCGACTTGATCCAATCCAAAATCTCCGTATCGGGTGCTGGGTATGCTCCGGAAACTGATCGGATGGCATCTCCTCCATGATCGAGGGTCGGTGATGAGTAGGGCTCCGACTCTACCATCTGATCTGATCGTGGTTAGCTTCATGATAGTGGCGATAGGAGAATGTGTTGAGAGATGAAGACGATACAGACCGCGAAAGCGATTGGGAATCCTCGTCGAAGTGAGGACTTTGTTTCTCAACCTCGGCTCTGCAGACTCTACAGTGAGAGCTGGAGGCTCGTAGGGGACACCACTGACAGGTGTTGAGAATAGCCCCCTCAGTCCCTTCGTTGATGTTATTGGGCAGAAGCATGACTGCAGTAGATAAATATTACATATTAGAATAATAAGCACTGGTGCCGTGGGATATAATTAACCCATATCATCACTCTTTTTTTTGCGTTAGATTTTAATTGCGTATGCAGCTATCTAGCTATGACACAATATCAAAGAAAAGTACATAAAAGATGACTTAATTTACAAGATGAGCACTCGTGCCTCAGATTTCATTTGCGAGTACCACTGCGAAGTTATGGCGGCTTTTTCTTCACCCCAAGTCAACCCTCATCCGTGAATACCCACCCAGGGGAACGTCTTAAAAACCCTGGGTTATCTAGACTTGCCTCCGTCATCAATTAACTTTTCTCCGCGTGAAATGTGCATATCATCACTCATTGGCATGAATAGTAGCTAGCCAATACATGCCTGACGGCATACATTGGCTTTAGGATCTCCAACAACCCTCCCATTTAGGTTAGACAAGGAAGTATGCTAGAGTTCACACTAGTGTGCGGAAAATCTCGCTTTCATGTAGACAGTATAACTTTTCTTCACATATACAAGAGAATAGCTTTCTCTCAACAAATAACAATCCATGAAACATCAGTAGACTACGTCGCCTAATAAACGCATTCATCATAACTCTAATTCATCCTCATACTTGTTATTTTATTCTTACAATCTCCGGAACTATTTCAATTTTCGTTAATTCGAAACTTGACCGAACTTGGCTCTGGGAGAATGTTCCACTCTTAGGTCTGTAGAGGACGCCGCGTACAGGTGTTCAGTCTTTATCCTTCAATTAATAAAAATCGGGATAGCATGAAGCACTAGACTTGAAGGGCTGAATGCCGGTAACCTCAACATCTATATATTTCTCATCATACCGATGCCTCCTGAATCTCAGTCCAATTAGCTGAGATTCACCCACTACTTACTGCCTCGTAAAGTTTAAAGAACTGAGACGAAATTTCTGCCTCTGTCAATCCTCTTGCTGATAACCTTCTGATGAGACACTTTTTTACATATTTTCTTACGTTTTCGCAATCCAGTATCTGTTATTCATCCCTGCAGGATTAATGAAATTTATTGGACTATTTTACCTTGTTGCTGGAGGGAAGGTATTTCCGCAGTTCCCTAGTTAGCAAAATTGATAAATCGGTTGCGAGATTGTTGAGAAATTCTGCATTCTGAGAGAAGAAAGGAATAAGGTTTTTGTATGCACTAAATTTTTGGTACTCGCTCAAGCGTGAGACGATCTTGTTCGATGCTCTAGTTCTTTAAATTTGATTTTTCTATTGTGCAGATGTCTGCAACCTTGATTTCGACCAAAAAAATAATCAGATCAGGTACCTCCGTTCAAAGAAACAGTAAGGAGAATCAATGATCCATGCAAAGGTGGTGACTCAATGTTGACTTTTAGACAATACTTTACTTTCAAATATGCGGATATTTTGCTCGGAGGCTAGACATTGCTAGATCGAGCTTTGCGAAATTAACAGGAACAAAAAGATTTCAACGACAGCTTCCTTCGTCACTTTGATAAGAATCCCCAAACGCTCTTACGGTCTACATGCCTCAGCACCGTTATTATCATGTAGCCAACATCTGATCAGATGATAGGGTCGAAGCCCAACCCTACTATCTGCTCACTTTTTTTGGTCACAGAGAAGTTGTCCAATTAGTTTCCGGAGTATAGCAAGCTCATTATGTGGAGGTGGTGGGTTTGATCAAGTTGGCCTCTTTCGTTACAAAGGGAGGTATAGTTGGAAGTACGTACCTCCTGAGGTTTCGGTGTCTAAGCATCATTTGGCTCTAGCTAGGTGTTTTTAGAGGATTTTCTAGGGCACGCAGTTTTCATCGCCATCTTTTTTTTGGGTATTAGGTTCCTGAATGAAAGTGGCTAAACTCAATTGGTAAAAAATTTACTGAATGTCTATCCATCATTAGAATTATATCAGAAATGTTTTTTTTGGAATCTAGTAGAATATTTATACCGTGTGAAATATGGCTTAGAATAGAGGAGAGCTCAGTGTGGTTATGAGTTGCAAACATGGCAGAATAGCATTTTACTAACTAAAAAGATACCAAGAAGCAATGTTCACGTGAATATCCGTTTCTCAGTACAGGCCCCATAAAATAATCGGAACATCAATTTATCCGTGACATTTTCTGCTTTAGATAATTCATTCGACGTATCTGGACGACGGCTACACAAAAAGTACATCATCACTTAAATAATGGGTCGTGGTGGAAAACGAGTAAGTTCATTCGCGTCGAGACTGCTGAAGATTTTTTTCTAACATTTCAGGGTGGTTTCCGTGGCAATCGAGGCGGAAATCGGGGCGGAAATCGAGGTGATAATCGTCGTGGGGAAGATAATCGAGTCAGCTTTGATAAGGTTCCGAAACACAACGAGAGGCTTGAGAGATACTACAACCAGGTCCTTGGAATTGACGAAGAAGAAAAAATCGAATTCTGGGAAGCTCTTAAGCGTGAATTACCTAATAGTTTTCGTTTTGCGGGCTCGAAAGGGTAAAATATAAATTACTCTACTGGTTGCTCAGGACTAATGGGAATAGACACGCACTCTCAGTTCAGAAGCGTCTAAAGCAGCACTATGTTCCTCAGATCTCCGCCATCACCAACTTTGATGGCACTTCATTTCAGCCACCACAACCTATTCCATGGTACCCAGACGAGCTTGCATGGTGGATGACAACTCCCAAATCAGTTGTGCGCCGGTTTCCTCCCTTTGCAGCCTTTCAAAATTATTTAGTATCAGAGACAAGTGTAGGAAATATTAGTAGGCAAGAAGTTGTCAGTATGATCCCACCACTGGTAATGGATCTTAAACCTGGTATGACCGCCTTGGACATGTGTGCTGCACCTGGTAGTAAAGCAACACAATTGCTGGAAATGATACATGTAGGGGAAGAAGCCCGGATGTCAAACTCGCGCCGAGAATATGCCCAAGTCGATGGGCGCGAAATGAGTCCTGATGCTGCGAGCAATGGAGGCGTAGACTTATGCATTGACAACGACGACTATGGTAGAGCTACCGGGCTTCTAATTGCTAACGACTCAGATTACAAGCGCAGCCACTTGCTGATCCATCAGCTTAAACGACTATCTTCGCCCAACTTAATTGTCACGAATCACGATGCTACTATGTATCCCTCAATTAAACTTCCACCCACACCACAAAATCCATCGAAAAATCGTTATCTTAAATTTGATCGAATTTTAGCAGATGTTCCTTGCTCGGGAGATGGAACTACTCGTAAGAATGTAAACTTATGGAGAGACTGGAATCCAGGTAGTGCTATAGGCCTTCACAATACGCAGATTCGTATACTCGTTCGGGCTCTACAGATGTTGAAAGTTGGGGGCCGTGTAGTCTATTCTACATGTAGCATGAACCCAATGGAAAATGAGGCAGTTATAGCTTCGGCTATTACACGATTTGGGGGACTAACCAAAGTTAAACTCTTGTCATGTGACGACCAACTCCCTCTTTTAAAGCGGAGACCAGGCTTGAAGAATTGGTGTATTATGGATAAAGCTGGGAAAGTGTGGTCATCATGGGAAGAATTGCAAAATCATATAGAAGAGCATGGCCCTACACCTGAAACCGAAAAACTTTTACCTGGGATGTTTTCTCCACCTAGTGATACGCCAGAAGCTCAAATTCCTTTCGAAAATTGTATGAGGGTTTATGCCCATCTGCAAGATACAGGCGGGTTTTTTATCGCGGTTCTAGAAAAACAGTCCGAGTCCAAAACTATACCCGAGGCAGAAAAATCTACGCATAGATCACCAGACCGATTTGATAGTGATGTTTCAGAAGCCAAACCAACGGCAAAAGATATTGATGATCCTGTCCCAATAAATTTTATTCAAAATCTTGATCAAGCCGGTGTTAATACCAAAGACATTACGGAAGATAAGATATCAATTAATAGCTATGAATTTAATTTAATGGAAGACTTCTCAGCTCCTCAACGTGCTTCTTCTCCTGGAGTTAATAACAAACGCTCAATTGATAAATCAAACGTTGATGCGAGCTCTATACTTCTCCAAAAAAAATCAAAAATAATGGGAGAGATTCCATCTACTAATGAAGAAAATTCTGATCAACACAAAATATCAACCAACAACCAGAGACAAGCCGAAACTAACTTTGAACAACGGCCGAACCGCAACAGATATGGTGCAGTTGAGGAACCATTCAAGTACCTACCGGCCGATCATACAGAAGTTCAAGTCATAGAATCTTTCTATGGATTATCGTCGCATTTTCCTCGTGATAGGTTTATGGTGCGGAATAGTACAGGACAACCTGCTAAGACTATATATTACACCACAAAATTGATTCGCGATATTCTAACGGAAAACGAAGGCCAAGGAATCAAATTCATTCACGGGGGTGTTAAAATGTTCATGAAGCAAGATGTTCAAGGTCCAGATGTATGTAAATGGCGAATTCAGTCGGAGGGTATGCCTATCCTCCATGGATATGTTGGCGAGGAACGAATTATACGCCTAAGAAACAAGGAGACCCTGAGAAAATTGTTAATTGAAATGTTTCCCAAGGTGGCTGACGGGGCATGGACAGAGCTCGGCGAAATTGGGGAGCAAGTCAAAGACGCTGGTATGGGTTGCTTTGTCCTCCGTATCAATTTGAATTCCCCAGAAGACGGGACAGAAGAGAAAATGGTACTTCCTCTATGGCGGAGTGCAGCATCACTCAACCTCATGTTGGCTAAAGAAGATCGCGCTGCTATGCTATTACGAATCTTCAATGACACGACACCTTTGGTCAACCACTCAAAAGAGGCTAGGGCAGCAGCAGTTGAACGAGCTCTTACAACAAACTTGGTTAATGAGCCTGTAGATAAACTAACAAACATAGATTCAAATTCAGAGGAATCACTAACTGAGAATAAACAGGTAAAAATAGAAGAATCGTTTGAAGAACCCTTTACATCTAGATATGATGCTCTCATAGTCGCAGAAGCATGGAGTGGTGGCAAAAGTAATGATGAAGACGTTGGTAAAACAAATATTACTCTAACTCCCGAAAAGTCTGTGTAGTCGTTCATGATTTACCGCACTTAAATTTGTTCCAATCATCAAGTGCTATCGCGATGATGAGCAATGAGATCTAGTGTTATCAGATAGCCTATCTCAGTTTTTTTAGCCTTAGCATGCATAGGGACATTTACTATTTTCATAGAGATTAGAATCAACGGCGAGGGTTGATAGATCTTGTACAGCTAGAAGTCATGATAGAAAGGCTATTCGGAACAGTACTAAATACTGTCCAGACCTTCTGCGATAAATTACAGCATAATATTTGATACACAAACTCTAAACTTAATATGAATGAACATTTAGGAAAAGGTTGAAATAAGCTATAAACTTCAGGATAAACAACCATTTTTATCTTGAACTTATTACACGGATTAGATTAGATAGTTTTAACTTGCTAGACATAAATATTGTGTATTGACACGATCTATTCATTTGCTGCTATTTTCCTAACAATCAGAACTAGCTCTCTGTGACAGAAGTTTTGTCTCGTCACTTAAGAACTATTCAAGATCCACAAACACACATCTGAGACAAAGATAAGTCTCTTAAGATTAATAAGTAACATGATTACATTAGAATAAACTTCGCACAGTGGTATAATATGAAGATACGCCATGAGTTAAGTAGGTATTTCCCAGTAGAATCCGAGAGGCATTCATTAGCGCTAGGATGTGATTTCTCTCATGTTTAGACTAGGAAACAAGTTGGAACAACCACCAGTGATCCAAAGCCCCCATTTATAAATATAGAAACCTCTTACGCCTTGGATAATACAGGCAATACACACCGTAAGAAATTCTAGCAATCTCTATATTAGCCCACTCGTGAGGATACTCGGGAATATCCTCATGTTGGTTGATTGTCCAAAGCCTTACGAGAACTCACACACTATACTTCGCTTAAAACCATAGCTAACTTGTAGTCGGAGGGGGTTCAGATATATATATATATATATACTATTCATTATCCTGATTAGGCGCCTTGAGGCCCATGCAGGTTTTATCGGAAGATATGTACTTTAAGTAGGATGACTCAATTTGACATTTAGAACACTCACAATCAGATTTCATTTGTAGATACCGCGAGAGAGAGTGGTGTGTGAGTCTCACTGGGTTCGAACCAGCTTTCTCCTGTCTCAAATGGGGTAGGTGTTCAAGCTACCCAGTATCTACTTGGGAGAACGACCCGGGTAGTGTACCACTGCACCATCCAACTCTAAAGTCTGGATAGCTTGGACACATATGCCTCTCGAGACAGCAGAACGCTGGTTCGAATCCAGCAATACACAACTGTCATGGTTCATATCATGACTCTCTATAAAAGTTGAAAGCATGCCTAAGCAGCGGTGGGGGGTCCAGTTGTCATAGTAACATAATTGTTCAGGTGAGGATCCGTGATCATAAATACTTTATTATAATTTGTCACGTGTACCCCAGTTTTTATGCACAATGCACACTGAGCTAGAAACCTGTATATACTAGACACATCCTGTAAATTTAGAGGGCGAGTCACACACCGTCTTAAGATTTCACTATATAGAAGATATAGTAGAAATCCCGAGACATCGTGACCTACGATTTCCGTAGATTCACATATTATCAATCAAGCATCCTAGGAACTTAAACCCTCACAGGAATAGAGAGGACTGGTGTTATTATTGACACTAGCGTCGAGCTAGTACTCGTTCACATCTATAGAGGGCGTGCGACGCTTCATTAGATTTCCATATCTTGTCTTCGTTCCATCTTACGTACAGGCAAACCCCTGTTAAGACGATGTGACCGGGGCCGTGAAAAATATTGTCTTATTAGGGATATCGTTTTAAAGGATTTGATTACCTAATCCAGCTACAGTCAGACCCCTGTTAATATGACGGCCCCGAGGCCGTGAAAAATATCGTCATCCAGAGAATATCGTTGATCCACAGAAATTCCCCTTTTTGGCGGAGTTTTTAGCACCAATCAAGCAAGAAAACCCTGGTTAAGACGATATTCACAGGTTGAAGAACGATAATCGTGTAATCGGTAAATGTATGGGAACAAAATCCGTTCTGGAAAAAATATCGTCGTAACGAGGATGGTCTTAACAGGGGTCTGACTATATCTTGTTTATATTTTGTCCCGTGACTTTTATCTTGTATACAAACTCGCCCCGTAACAACCACATTTCTCGCGGCGCTGGTATACGTGGATGACGAATGCATGCTCGGATAATCAAAGATTTTGAATTTCCCTTTGATGGGTACCTACGGAGGAGGGTCGACTGTTTGTGTAAGCAAGCATATCTCATAGTGGTATTTGCGAATGAAATCCAGAGTTAGAGTGTCTCTAACGTCAAAAGAGTCATCCAACATGTATACCAAGCACCGGTCATGTGTCATAGCTAGCAAGCTGAATACACATTAAATGATTTAAAAAAAAATAGAAACAAGAACGAGATAGTGCATGTGTCAAACAGATTACCCTAAATTTAAATATTCATTCATTGTTCTAGTTTAACGTCCTATGCGGTATCTGTATACAGAACCATGAAGACGGTAAGCCGCTTTGGTAAGGGAAAAACCTTTCAACAAACAAAACCCGATGTCCTGCCACTTTGAACCGACCCGGCTTTATGCTGAGGACGTTCCTTTCAACCGCAATTATGTAAACTTTCCTCGAAATTCATTAACTCCCCCTTCAATCAGACCATCGTTATGAGAAATTAAAAAAAGAAGGCACCTCCTCACTCGGCGTTGGTCTTCGAAGTGTTCGAAGTGTTGGCCCCGATGGTGGTGCTGCTGTCGAGGCGATGGTTGGTGCCGCTGGGGCTTCGACTACCTTACGCGGTCGTCCTGGCCCTCTTTTGAGTCCTTCAGCCTTATTACTGGTGACCAAAGTGAATCCTTGGTCGTCGGTCGTTCCGACTATTCGTGTTGGCGCCATGGTAGGTTTTTCATTTCATATTTCTGCCGTCCTCGATAACAGCTCCATCCGAGCCTTCTCCACACTACCCTTGTAACCCTGGTAGGTCCGACACGCTGCTTTCTGCCATGAACGATGTTCCTTGCCACAGTTGGCACAAGAAACCCTTTTCCTCGGACAGTCCCGAGTTTGGTGAGCGCCAGCGCACTCACTGCACCTGGCTGCCTTTCCACACGAGGCCTGCGTGTGTCCCCATTGGCTGCAGTTGTAACACTGCTTTGGCTTAGCCCGTGGCGACCACACCTGCGCGGTAAAGAGCATGGCGTTAATAACAAGGCCCTGTCGAACTACCTCCGTTTGCATTGCCTCCGATGGGAGGCTGACCACAATTGAACCTCGATTGCGACCGTTTTTCTTCGATCGCTGATGCTCCTTTCCATCATGTAGCCATTGTATTCTATTAATTACCAGGCCTGAAATACGTGCCTTCGTCGCTGTCTCAATCTCCCTGATGATGGCGTAGTTGTTGGAATCTCTGCCACCCTCAATTCTTGTCCGCAGTGGGACTCCGGAAACCTCAACAGGAAAGTCCTGCCGCAAAATTTTAAAATCCGTTGGTTGTCGCATGTTTAGCGCCGCGTCTCTCGGGAACGCCGACTGGACAAACACCTCGGTGTCGTTGCTTCGCATCTGTCGAATTGCAAATGCGCCTTGAATATGTTGCTGTGCCTTTGAGAGCAGCTCTTGTGGCTGCAAGTTTTGTGCGCCATCGTATCTTATTCTAACCGCTGTCTTCTTCATTTGCGGAGCCACGACCGACGCGAAGCTCCTTGGTGTCGGCGCGCCCGAAACCACTGCTGTTGCAGCTTTTCGAACGAGATCCGCGAGGCTCTTTTTGACAACCTCCTCGAGCGCCATCATCCTCTCCTCGATGGGAGACTTCTTCTGCGTCATTTCCATCCAGGCCCTTTTCTGTGCGTTGAAGGCCTTCACATCCTCCATTGAGGGTAAGTCCTCCTCATCCATCTCTTCCATCACGATGAGTCTAACCTGTTTCAATAGTTTCCCCAGGATTTCAAGGTTCTTTTCCTTTGGAGCTCTCTGCGCTCCGCTGCCGTTGTTTGATGGTGCCATTGTCGCATTTTGTGACGCGTCGAAACCGTTAGATTTACCCACACCAGCACCCACACTCGCCATGTTAGAGCACGGAAAGCGAAGAGATGGTAGGAGGGTAATGAAGATGTAAAAATAATAATCACGATGTCAATTTGATGATACAGGCAGCGTGGAACGCTGCGCAGCTTTCTGGCAAAAATGATCAAATTTAAATATTATATCATGATGTTTAAGTTGAGTAGTTTACAAGCAAGTAAACGAGGCTGATGCATCAAGTGCAATAACTTAGTCATGCAAATATTACAACTAGCGACTAGACGGATGGTCAATTTACTTCGCACAGCTCCCTTGTTGATTCGCTATTTCTATTGCCCATGATAATGTAACAAACAATATCAGAACCATGTATGGAACGGAGATTGAGCAGTTCGCATGGGCATTCTAATAGTCAATCTATATTTGGAATTAGTGGGATACTCAAGATGTATAAAGTACCTAGATAGATTCCTCATGGTAGAGGACAATCAATTCAATCAAATCTGAGAGAGATTCATATTAGTGTAACTTTGCTTAACGTAATACTATCAAAATGAAGAATGGCTTCCCTCAATAAAATTAGTCATGTAAAAAGTCGTGAAAGGATATACAAGAGAGACATGAAGAGATGGACATTAACACATTCATTAATCGTTGGAAAATGAAGTATAATCCTATTAGTAACGGTTACCTTCATTACGTAAGTGTTCCCAACGCAATCCCTACATCCACTATTCACACTCTAGTCCCGTCTCTCCTGTATAATTTGCATGAACAGGTACTAGTGTGGCTCTTCTTTTATGACAAGAGAACACAGCGCAAATGACAGCTCACCACTTCTCACTGATTTACTTAATGATATTCTAACGACGTTCTTTATGGACTTGATTGATACCTTTTTCTTCCGATGTTAATGCGAAAATATTGGCGAGAATTGATTACAATTAATTCCGGCTGGCAAATGCTTCTACTCTTGTATACAATAGATCAGCGTGAGAGAGATTAACTCCTCACGCAACGTCTTCTTTACTTGTCATTCACAATACATTTTGTTTACTCGACTCTTCTTCGGGGAGATCCACATGTAACATCTATCGCAACTATTTACCCATTCGTCTCTTCCTAGAGAAGACCTGTTATCCCATTTGTTGAAATCGGTACTTCCAATTATGGTAAAGACAGGGATGTGTAGAATACACACCACTAATCTCCCATTAATTGTGAGGTCAGTATTAATGCGCTTTGACGTAAATACCAACCACTAGATTTATTATTACAAAATATAGTTTATGTAGCACTCTGTGTCCTAGTGGGAGAAATTAACAACTCTCCACGACAAACTCACAGACTCCTTTACTTTCCCACTCGCTTCACCAAGTGATATAATCTGTGCCCAACAGCCACAAGCTTTTGCAAACCAATCCGCTCAACATCTTTGACCCATTTATTATCTTCACTTACCACCTACATTTTCACTAGGCCATACAACGCACCCCGTGGAACACGGTCAAACCTGCATCCTCGAGAGATGGGTATGTGTCAACAGTATGTTTGAGCGCAGATCGGAACAGATGTTTATCAGATGTCATTTGTAATGGTTTAGGGGAATAAGAGGTTCTCAGAAACTCGTCATATTCTGCTGGCCAGAGGTCGGAATTCGTGGATAAATTAACAGCCGCGCGGGCCTGCTAAAAATCGTGCGACGTCCTCTAAATTTAGCTTAACCTACGATCTGGTGTCGCCTTCCGATGCGTCTCTCTATAGGAGTCAGACGAATACGTAATTTGATGTATCCATTGGGTGATTAGATTTACTACCCAAGTAGCGTAAGTGGTGATGCTAAAATAGATGTTGATTCGTGTGCTCGGCAGGCCCACACATATGGGCCCGCTTTATACGCCAGGCTAAATAAGGCTACTGTTGCCATGCGATGATATCTACATAGTAATGCTAGATGATGATAACCTCACCAAAAGCCACCATAACTTCGCAGTGGCACTTGCAAATGAAATCTGAGGTACGAGTGCTCTTCTTGTAAATTGAGTCATCTTTTATGTACTTTTGTTTGATATTGTGTCATAGCTAGATAGCTGCATACGCAATTAAAATCTAACGCAAAAAAAAGAGTGATGATATGGGTTAATTATATCCCACGGCACCAGTGCTTATTATTCTAATATGTAATATTTATCTACTGCAGTCATGCTTCTGCCCAATAACATCAACGAAGGGACTGAGGGGGCTATTCTCAACACCTGTCAGTGGTGTCCTCTACGAACCTTCAGCTCTCACTGTAGAGTCTGCAGAGCCGAGGTTGAGTAACAGAGTCCTCACATCGACAAGGATTCCCAATCGCCTTCGCGGTCTGTATCGTCTTCATCTCTCAACACATTCCCCTTTCACCATTATCATGGAGGAGATGCCATCCGACCAGTTTCCGGAGCACACCCAGCACCCGATACGGAGATGGCGGATTGGATCAAGTCGACCTCGACTGTTACAGAGAAGGGAGATATAGATGAATATGCGCACCTCATGTGGTCCCGGTGTCTAGGCCTCGCCTGGCTGGGCCTGCAGGGTTTTTGAGACTTTTTCCCGCGCACCCAGTTTCCATTGCTACCATTTTTATTCTTTTGGGTAGAAGGTTCGGTGGAAAAGGTGGCCGAACTCCACGGGTAAACACTGAGCTGAATGGCTATTCATCAAGGGCAATATATCAATGATCTTTCAAGTAACAAAAGAGGATAGGAGCACTGTACAAGGTGTGGCCTGGGTCAGAGAGGAGCCCAATGTGCTAGATAGTCATAGACTCAAGTAGTACAATAAAACACACATACACACTTCTTAGTGTTTTCCAACAAATCATCTATTGAAAACTGTACAGGATAACTTCATCATACTCAATTATTAAAAACTATTCCCGTAAGATTATCCAGACGGCATCAATTCATCAAATATCGACTCCCTAATCGCCACAATATCACTCTTCCCTCGAGCATTTTTCCATCAAGACCAGTCATCTAGCCCGACCATTTTCCGGCTCCTGGACGAGCTCGGTCAGTACTCATGCGGTATGGATCGCAATATACACCAAATTACGAAGTCTTTTTCACCCAAATTTGACGTCAAGGAGCTCGGAGACTCGTTTGAACTCCATGGAGAGCTTCCTGGCATTGACCAGAAGAACGTCGACATTGAATTCACCGATGCGTCAACACTTACCATGAAAGGGCGCATCGAACGCAGTTATTCCAAAGGTACCCCACCAGCCGGATTCGTGGAGGGCGAGACAGAGAAGGCAGCGATCTACGGAGAAGAGAAATGTGGGGCGATAAAACAAGACAACAGCGTTTCGGTCAAGAAGAGCGAGAACTCAAACACGTCACGGGAGAAGTTTTGGGTTATGGAGAGGATTATAGGAGAGTTCTCGAGATCCTTTGCATTTCGGGTGCTAGTGAACCAGGAAAATGTAAGGGCTTCGATGAAGGACGGAATTCTGAGCGTCATGATACCAAAATCAAAGAAACAAGAAAACCGCAAAATAAGTATTCAGTAAATACTAGATGGCCGTGGTAGAGAGTTTGTCTGTATGCTCGAACAATGATATGAAATAATTTGAGTGGATATTCAAGGAAAACGACGAGGAATGATGATAGTCTTTTAATGTTGAAAAATAATCATATTTTGGAATGCATCGAGTTTTATATGATTTAGAATACTCATCTGGAGATGCTTGTGATGCGTGATACCAACCCCACAGTCTACCTAAATTCATATATACAAGAGGATCTCTGCCCGTGAAATTTCCTCACTCTAACACTCTACTCACACTTTCTTTCCCCAAGACACTCAGAACCACGAAATGGGAAGATAGTAGAGAGGTAGTCTTGGGATTATGAGATAGATTGGCTATGCGAGGAGAAACAGTAGTTACTGTAGCGAGCTCCACATACATAGGGTTTGGGGTTTTGCTGAGTAATGCCAAGACTAGATTGGCATTCATGTCACGTGTAGGTGTTTTATGCCTAAGTACCAACACTACCTTGCTCATTGCATCCGTGTCCCTAGAAGCCGCCGAGGAGCTTTGTCTCCCTCGTCGCTCTCTTGGGTGTCTACCTCAGTGCCGGACTGGATACGCTGACTCTCCTACTTATCATGAAGAATTTCAACATGAAAACGTCGTCATTACTTGTTCCTGCGAGGAAGACAAGTCAATCACCCACTCAGTTTTTTACGCCCTCGTTCGTGAGAGGCCGGCCTATGCAGGTCTCCGACCAAGTTTGGGGTCCCTCGTTTTCCATTTCGGCACCTCCCGTGGTGCTTAGCGCTTCGCCTCTTTACTAGAGAAGGCTAACTTTCTAAAATCTGCCCCATGCGCAGCGTGTGATCTGGTTAAGTGAGGAATATGCTGCATAGCGCTCACAATATCTCGGGGCCAATGATTATTCAAAGCCCCTCGGCATCCGACGGTAAACAAATGAATTTTCTTTTGTAGCCGTCACCATGTCCCTCCTTGGGATGGGGCAATAGCGTTCGCTTTCGCTTTCGCCCGGTAGACAATAAAGATAAATAAACAAATCATTGCAGCCATGGAGCCAGGAGGACGTACTTATCAGCCTGTTATCAAGCAAAAACTGTGCTTACGGGAAATACTAAGCATAGATGACTCGGACCCCGCTCGATCAAATTCAAACTCGCTCCAGACTTAATGAGTGGCAAGGTGTTAGAAAGTCGACACTTTTGCCTTGCAACTTTCGCTGTACAACTCTCTGATGCTGAGTTGTTCCTTTGAAGTCTGCACCAATCTTGAAAACTCTGGCTTTCCTATGTTCTAGCCAGAAGATGTAATCGCAAATAAACGAACAACTTTACTTTTACCTTGAGCCCCTTGATTTTATATCGAATATATGCCACGGCACAAACAAGATAGCCAATCGACATTACGAGTTAACTCTGGAATATTTTGAAATCTAATCCACTAGTTCGTTCGTGGACGTTGTTGCTAGAGAGAAGCTTGTGCAGTCATGAGGGTTATAATTATTTTTTTGTATTTCATTTAGCCCGATTTGGCGCCCTGTGGGCCCATATAGGGGAGGGCAAGACTGAACACCTATACGCCGTGTCCTCTACAGACCTGGGAGTCAAATATTCTCCCAGAGCCAAGTACAGTCAAACTTTCCAATATCAAAGAAGTTGGCCCACGAAGCAACGATTCAAAATACTCCACCTCATCGATTTTGCTCCCAACGAGTTTGACTCCTACCTAAGTCTCATCAAGTCTACAAATACGATCAAGTATATCCTTATCCCAATGACCACACTTCTCTTCAACCGTCTCTGGTCTCCGTTGACCACCAAATACACGCCCACGCCGATATTTACACCCGACGGAGGAAACAAAGCGTGGCGCACAAATCCGGGGGACTGTTCTTTGGTATGGGCGTGAGAGGATTCAGGCCAAGTTCACAAGACGCTGTAGAAGATGGCTATAATCTCAACCGACGTGAAATTAGGAATTTTGAAAATGAGTTTGTCACGATTCCAGTGTATAAAGCTTGGGCGTTTGTATGTCAAAAGGTAAGTTTACTTATTAACTGAAGAACACAACTACTGCTACATCTAACGCACTACTTATATACATGATCCCAATGTTCCGAACAGTAGTAGCTGTCCTTCAGTCGTGCTTCCATTTTTCAGGTGTGCGCTAGTTACCAACAGAATTTCATGCACGGGCAGTGCCACACTTTCAACACGTGAGGTTTCTGGGCGCGCGTCGTGTACTTCGTAAAGGATGGGTGTGGATATAAGAAAGGAATGGTATCACGTAGTGTCTCGTGGCTCCTGACTACAATGGATCTTGTGTAGAGCTTGAGACTAATACGTGAATTCTATCTGTCACTAAATGTAGGATATCTATGCGCTTATATACACCAATACTCTGTTACCCCTCAGCTCAAGTGCGATCTAGTCGTGTGAGATCATAAGGCACTAGCATTTTGTCTATGTGCCGTACATCTAAAATCTGGCCAACCCGTGATATTGTAAATCTTTTCAGGATCCACATATGTGTGTGCTGAATAGCACAGTCTACAGGCAATCTATCGGCTTACTAGGGACCTTTTTTTTTTAAATCATTTAATGTTTATTCAGCCATGGAGCTATGATACATGACCGGTGCTTGGTATACATGTTGGATGACTCTTTTGACGTTAGAGACACTCAAACTCTGGATTTCATTCGCAAATACCACTATGAGGTATGTTCGCTTACACAAACAGTCGACCCTCCTCCGTTAGTACCCACCAAAGGGAATTTCGAAACCATTGGTTATCCAAGCATGCCTTCATCATCTATGCATACCAGTGCCGCGAGAAATGTGGTTGTGTTTTGCCGGATTCGAACCAGCGATCTACTGTCTCGAGTGGGATATGTGTCCAAGCTATCCAGACTCTACTTGGCAGATCGGCCAAGACGATGTACCACTGCACCATCCAACCATGGCGATGTTTATAGTGTCGCCTGCACTCTCGCAACCGAAGTCTTGGCACGCACAAAGCTCAATTTGTAAAAACTCCTTTCCAAATTTCAAAATTCCACGCCCGTCGAGACTGTATCCATCCTTCGCATCATCTTAAGAACTTGTCCTGATTCCTCCCACGCCCATCTCAAAGAACAGTCTCCCAGATTTGTGCGCCACGCTTTGCTTCCTCCGTCGGGTATAAATATCGGCGTGGGCGTGTATTTGGTGACCGGCTCAGGCCTGAGAAAGTCGACAGGAGGTGTGGTCATTGGAATGAGGATGTACTAGGTCGTACTTGTAGACTTGATGAGGCTTAGGTAGGAATCGATCTTTTTGGGAGTCAAAATTTGGCGTGGTGGAATAATTTGAATCATTGACTCGTGGGCCAACTTGTTCGGTTTTGCGAAATTTGACTGAACTTGGCTCGGGGAGAATATTTCACTCCCAGGTTCGTAGAGGACACCGCGTACAGGTGTTCAGTCTTGCCCTTCTTACTAGGGACCGCAGAGCTTTACTTATTGACCTTTATGCGTGCCTCGTCTTCGGTTGCGAGAGTGCAGGCGACACTATAAACATCGCCATGGTTGGATGGTGCAGTGGTACATCGTCTTGGCCGGTCTGCCAAGTAGAGTCTAGATAGCTTGGACACATATCCCACTCGAGACAGTAGATCGCTGGTTCGAATCCGGCAAAACACAACCACATTTCTCGCGGCACTGGTATGCATAGATGATGAAGGCATGCTTGGATAACCAATGGTTTCGAAATTCCCTTTGGTGGGTACTAACGGAGGAGGGTCGACTGTTTGTGTAAGCGAACATACCTCATAGTGGTATTTGCGAATGAAATCCAGAGTTTGAGTGTCTCTAACGTCAAAAGAGTCATCCAACATGTATACCAAGCACCGGTCATGTATCATAGCTCCATGTCTGAATAAACATTAAATGATTTAAAAAAAGATCCTCCACGTAACAAAAGAGATTAGGAGCATTGTACAAGATGTGGCGTGGGCCTGAAAGGAGACCAATGTGCTGTATAGCCTAAGGCTCAAATAGTACAATAAACATAGATCTCTCACTACTTGGGAGAATAGCCTGGATGGTATACCACTGCACCATCCGACCAGAGGGGGATAACAGCTGCATATAGCTGTCTGCACTATTCACAAAAGACAAGGATCAAGATAAATGTTAACCACCAATTATTATTACTGCTGTATAAAGCTTATGATATAAATATGACCTAAGTTTTCCGACAAAAACGTTAGGTTGGACAAAGCTATGGTGGGAACGAATCCTATCGACTGTAAAACAATGTTGTGGTACGGAGTTTTGAATCATTGCGTCGTGGACCAAGTCGTTCAGTATTGCAAATTTTAGCTAAACTTTGCGCCGGCATAATATCAGACCCTTAAGTTCGTGTAATACTCCATGGACAAGTGCTTAGCCTATGTCCTTGGAAAATATCATTCAGGGCATGCGTGAAATGGTGCGCCAGTTTGAGCTGCTTTTTGAGTATGCTAAGCATTCAATTTTATTTGGACCCACCAACATGTGTCATTCTTTCTGGTAATGTACTTAACAAGGCATTTCCATTTTTTCAAGTTGCAAAGACTTAAATTACTACGTAGAGCTCATCTACTTGATTGTATTGCCGAAAGTAATCTGCTCTTGCTCCCATTCCCATCTGCCTTACAAACAACTTCTGAGCTCGAATATTTCGCAATGGTCTGCACTTCAGTCATCCTTCAACTAATTTTTGTCGGTAACCAGAAAAGAGTGTCTATGCACTCACTTACACATGGTCTACCTGATCGATCTTACTTGAGGACGAGCTTCGTCGAGGAAAATGCTTTTAACCAAAAATTGGCAAACCTACAGATTGTGAATACCCCCGTCACGGAAAAATCGCGTTCTCATCTGGCCGAAATGTGTAGCCATTCATTCGACAATCCCAAAGACTTGGTGAGAAATCTGTTCCGATCTTTTGAAAGCGACAAACGATTGATCAGGAATGCCGACGCGTCGAGCCCAGACCAACGAGTTAAATGCTATAATGACTTTGGTAGAATCCATGAAGAAAATGGAAAAGTCCTACTTAGTGACATTCTTGGAGGCAAAATCCCTGGGTGCGGCCCCAAAATATTGGTCGAAATTTTGAGTTCATACCAAATGCTGGTCACAGGAGATCATTCTAGATACACAAGTTCTCATGGAAGCCATCCTTTCTATTCTATCACCGGTGACGTTCCCCTACCTCTGGAACCGGTGATAGATAACATGCAACCAATCGCAACTTTCAGCTTAAAAAACTGTTGGGAAATCGCAGACGCCGAGAGCTGTTTGCTGCATGTTGTTATGGTCCGAGACGTAGTGAGGTTGCTTCTTTACTATCAGGGTGCAAGCTTTTACCAAATCATTCCACCTCTCAACCAACAAGTATCCAAAGGTGCCATTCAAGAAACTTTGAAAAACTTCGACTTGGGGAAATCACTTTCATTGATCAGCAATAATCTTCAAGACTTGCCTCTCGGTGGCTGTAAAACTTCGAGGGAGACTTTGAATAGAATGCTGCGGAAAACAGCTGCGTGCATTAACAGCTTCAAGTCATCTGGGAGCCCCGAGCTTTCTTAGCGAACTTTATTCCAAATGTTTTGAAAGCTTCGCTCCTAATTTACTGATTAAGACCTGAGTCAGCACGACAATCGATATAAAATTAGACTGGCTAAAAACATTCTGGAGTGCCTTAGCTTATTCCCTTGCAGCAAGGAGTTTAACCATGTATTAAAAAAGGAGGTTTGCCAACATGCTAGACTTATTAGTTCAAAGCGTGAATTTTTGACTTGCAATCAGAGCAATTACCATGCATAAGTTGGTAGAAGAGCAGAGATATGCATAATATGATTAATCATTTACAAGGTCATTTAGATTTCTTTTATATAACTGCAACAAGAATGCCGCAGGCACAGTTGTTTTACTCGGTTCATGATATGGTAGTGTCGCTTGCGCTGGAACAGTCCACAAAGTTTGTGGAAAAATAAACTTGATTTGTATAAAGATGTGAGGTTATGTCGAGAATCTTAACTGATGGGAGAGCTCGATACTTATGCCGCAATTAGTTCGTTTTCGGACCAGAAAATAATCAATCTATAGCGCGATAAAGTGCTCCCGACTGAGAAATTATGCCACTTCAATTATACATGTCATACATTGCGCACAAAACTACCTGTATCACCACAAAAATTAAGAGAAACTTGAATACTCTCTTTTCCTCTGCTTCTCCACTTCACATCACATAAATCTTTAAATTTTTAGATCGTCGAGCTTTTTTTAAATGTATCCGGCTCGCAGAGAACGACCAAACATTCAGTTAGACAACTCGAGAGACTGCATGAGGTCTCTGCGACTACCGAGTCTTACCCAGTCTCCAAAATTTCGGTAAAATGATCATTATTAATTATTAATTCATTTTATTGTTCTGTCTGAGTCTATGACTATGTAGGACATGCAGGTCCTCTCAGCCTACAAGCCAAGGATACCTATACCAGTAGTATATCCACTCCTATGCCTCCCATACAGCTCCCCTCAAACAGTACCACCCCCCACAAGTCCTCATTCGATCATATACTTAGAGGAGCCCTTAACTCTTCATTATCTCCCCTCTCCAGCCAACGAAGCGATGGCCATTTGCGGGTATGTGGCAGCCGAGAAAAATCGCAAAAACCACTGGGTGCGGGGCTCTTCTAATACCGACATTAGGAATAAATCCGAAGACATATTGCCCCCTCTGAAGCGTTCGAAGAGGCCGGCCAGCTGGGCGCTGCAGACTTGTGTGTACCTCGGGAAATTCACACTCTGCCTTTCTAGTCTCCTTCCCGAAGGTCGTGCTGAAATGTCAGAAAATTCTTGACAGAGCGTAGTTACTGTATGGTAGCTTAGCCCAACTTCTTCTGTGTCGTCCAGGGCGCTGGGAAGTGCCGTTGACTCATCGACAAAAGAAGCCCTCCTGGCTAATTAGCCGAAATCTTGGTCTTGGCGCCCACAAAAAATCCAATGTTGAAAACTCCTCGAAAATGTCAGTCCCAGCACGCTCAGCAGAGACCTCTTTCCCCTCTCACTCCACATATCAGCCGCCTGTCCTTCCTCAAGATATACAACCCCACTAGAGCAGCAGTCCCCCATAAACCAAGACCCAAACTTAGTATATTATGACTTAATTTCCTCCTTGCGGGTATACGTAGCGTCGTAAATTTGTAGTGAGTGATGGCCGGTAATAAATGAGGCAAGTTCCTGTTTGCAATTGGGGTAACGCGTTTATCGGTCGTCGAGGCGAGATGATATGTGGTTAGAAAGAGGTTGGGGACTCAGAAGATTATGATGAGTGCTGCATGATTGAGAAGTCGTCAAATGGAGACATGCATGTGCTTGCTTTCGACTTCGATTTGGATGCGATTCTTCTTTGCTATCCCAGATATGCAGAGCATACTGAGCGATTACACCGGCACCACTGGAAGGTGAAGAATTCGTCTTTGCCGGCGGTAAAATGATCATGTTTGGGCGGTACGAATTGTTCTATGTAATTGCGGTGTTCAGGTTCTCGTCAGTACTATGGCAGGGATCTGATTTAGCTCATGAGCGAGGCGCTCGGAGTAGAGGAAGAAAGGAGACAACTTTTTATGTATTTCGAGATACCAGTTGATTGGATTTATTCACTGACTTCGTGACGGCACCCAATTTGTATTAATTCGTGTTTTACCAACGCAAAAGGCGTGCAGATAAGCGAGTTCGAGATGAAAGGGAAGAAAAATGTCCTGCCTGCCCCCATTGCGAGCAGCACTGACGTATCTGGGTCAGTCGGCATTGTGGAGAGAATTCCTTAATCAGTCTCCGTCATCCCAAGGGGGGCGGAGGTCCGTCCCAACCCCCTCTAGCCAAGCCATATACACCAGAGAAAGCTGCGTTGACACACAATTTGACCTTTGGAATATGCACATTCGAATTTCATCCGCATCCACCACTCGCAGTCAAGCGTCACGGCCGGTAACCCCTTCCGTGAATAAACGGGGAATAGCGCGAAATCCCCGCGGTGCTTCGAATGTGCACTTGTTGCCCTATGAGTGTAGTTTATCGCCACGAGAGGACGCGATGTGTGGGATTTACTGGATTCTAACCAGCTTTCTCCCATCTCAAATAGGGTAGGTGTTCAATCAACACCCCTAATCTTGCGCCGACATATCCTACTAAATCTGAAGAATCAAGTTGTAACATTACCCATGCAACGGTTATTATCATTTCTCATCATGAGATGCGCAGCACTTGTTGGATTTTGTTAAGATTGAACTAGCGACTCGTCATTCCCCATGAAACAGAAGACTTGTCCCACTGACAGACCAAAATGGGTTGTATTGGGTATTACGGGGTCTCATTTGATACATAAACCTTTTTTACAGCTCCATAAATTACGAGGCAATAGAATGGAGACTTACGAATCTTCAACAAGAACCTGTGACCGGATATTTCGTCACGGCAAAACCTGGGATCAATCTGAAGGTTAGGGACATTGCTAGGATTATTAAAAGCTTGTATATTGCCGCCGAGTGGAGATATTATTTCATTATATACATATTTCTGACGCTAGTCAGGTGCCCACAAGACTTCGCCAACACCTCCTAGCCTCATAATAACTCCGGCTTCCTTTACGCCGCGCGGTTCCCTATTAGAATGATTTCCAAGATGATATCAATGGAAGTCGTGGTGTATCAAAACAATTTTCCAAGGCTTATACGTTATAGCCGTGGCGCATCTCTGAAGAGAATTATTTTCGAGGGTAGACTTGGGGTATTCAAAAGAATTATAAGTTGAGTAGTGCCGGAGCCTGTTACCGCCACCTTGATCTCCGCATCGTTTTTCGTAAGCGTCCCGGCCTCCGCATTTACCAGTATCTCATCTCCGTCGTTCAAACCCCCCTCGATCTCCTGAGCGGTTTCCGAAGCCGCCTCTATCCCCACCGCGATTACTGAAACCACCTCGATCTCCGCCACGACTTGCGAAGCTATCCCTGTCTCCGCTGCGATTTTGGAAGCCACCTCGATCTCCACCACGGTTTCCGTAGCCACCTCGATCTCCACCACGGCTACCGAAACCACCTCGATCTCCGCCACGACTTGCGAAGCTATCCCTGTCTCCGCTGCGATTTTGGAAGCCACCTCGATCTCCGCCACGACTTGCAAAGCTATCCCTATCTCCACCGCGGCTCCTAAAATTGCTTCTGGCTCCGCTCTGGTTTCCAAATCCGGCTCTATCTTGGTAACCTCCTTGTCCTCGAGAGTTGAATCTTGGTTCGGGCTCGTCTGGAAATTCTGTGGGTCTTCCAATGTTGATTCCTGGTCGATTCCGTAGGCCTAGTTTGTTCGCTAGGGTCGATGAAATGGGCGGTGGCTCGTCAAATCCCCATCCATACTTGGTCCATCGTGCTAGGGCTAGACACTGCTCATCAGTCTTGAGGTTATTTAGAGAGGACTTGTATGCAGCTTCTTTGGAGCGACGACTACTGGCCTGTGTAGCCTCAGCAACTTGAGAGAAGATTCCAGCGATACTTTCAGGTATCTGTGCACTACTTGACATGTCGACCTTTGCGGTCTCGATGGACTTGTTTTCTTTTATCGGCAGACCACGTAACATACGCTTTCCATTTTCAAGATTGGACTGGTCAATGATTATAAAACCATCACCAGTGTTGTCACCACGACCAGTTCTGCCGACTCGGTGGATATACTGTTCTTTGTTCGGGGGAAGACCAAACTGAAGGACATGGGAGACACCGGGAAAGTCCATTCCTCGTGCAGTCACGTCAGTGGAAAACAACATACCACTTGAGCATCGACGAAAGTTTGAAGCAGCACGAGTCCGCGCTTCTTGGGTCATTGTGCCATTAATAATGAATAGCTGTACTGGATATAATGGATGTCTAGAGCCTTGATTTTCAGGCTTGAGTCCGGCTATAATTTCGTAAGCAAGTTTTACTTGAGCTGTGGATGTAAAATAAACTATCGCCTTGAATGGTTTAGCTTGTTCTGAGGGAGAGGTATTGTGTAATTCGTCCTGAGCGCTTAATGCTTTCTTAGATATTTCAACAAGAATAGGCATCCAGTTTTCGACTCCAGGAGCGATAATTATGTTCTGAGGTACCTTTTCGTGCGTCGCAAGCTCGCCTTCCTTGACAGTTTGTACAAAATGAAAGTCACTCTTTAAGGTTTTTCGCACCAAGTGCATGACTTCCTTCGGAACGGTAGCGGAAAAGAGGAGAGTTTGGCGATCAATGACTCGTCGGTCAGGAAGGATTTTTACTATTTCCTCAATGTCCCTTGAGAACCCATCATCAAGAAGTCGGTCAGCCTCATCTAAGACCAGACTTGTTAGATTTGGAGCACAGACGCCGCTACTTTCATCCGTCAAGAGGTCCATCAATCGACCTGGAGTGGCTACAAGAAGGTGACAGCCTTCTCGTTGTGTTTTCATCAACATACGACGTTTACTATTGCCGCCAACTGCGACTTGTACGATTAAGTCAGTCCTATGACAGAGTTTTTGCGCCTCAACTGCTATTTGCTCGGCCAATTCACGAGTTGGAGATATTATTATTGCACGTATATCGGATGGCCGAGCCTTGGAATACCTCTGTCGAGTCGCAAGTTCTGGGCTTTTTCGGAGTATGTTTTGAATTGTAGGGATTAAAAACCCTAAAGTTTTTCCAGTACCTGTTCGGGCTTGTGCAATTCTAAACTAAGTTAGAAATGTTCAAAGGAGATAAATATTGTATACATACATATCAACTCCCTGTAATCCTTCATTAATCGTGGCAACTTGTACTTCTGTCAATGTGTGGAGCTTCATGTTCTGAGTAATCTCTTGAATTATGTTTGGGTGTACCATGTTGTGCTCTGCCAATTCCTCAAACTTTGTGACATCTCGACGTTGGTGAGCGTTAATTTCACTTGTTTGATTCTTGAGTGCAGAAGAGATGTGGATCCACCGTGTTTCTGATAGGGTTTTATGATTAGACAAAATAGGAATGCGAAGAATTAATGGATTAGGAGTAGATATTCTATTGGTGACTCTGACGAAGCTAAAAATTCTTGATACCGAGCTAGAGCCTCTCTTGCACGCGTTAAACATTGCGGATATCTTACAGGAGCCCAGATAGAGCCAACTCGTTGTATTAAGACAAAGATGAACTATGATATCGTGAAAGAATGTAGTGATTGTGTGATTGTAGGTCGGTTACCAATGTTATGATTGTTAACTAGACCTTCTAGTGTATGAAAGTATTTTTTCTAAACGGCGCTAGTCAAAATTTATGGATCCTTACGAGATAGCACTCTCATCACGTGTGAATATTTTGCAGTACCCATAAGTGTATGATCAGCCTCCAAAAATTAATAGGCCGACCAAACAGCCTCGTATTATGTAGAGGGTGAAGACTTAACATCTATCCGCAGCATCCTCTACGAACCTGTATATATAATACTCTCTCCTAGCCAAGATTAAATCATCCTCCAACTAACGAATCGACCTTTCCTGTCTAAGATTCGTTTTAGGAGTGTGATGGGCTGGCTTTGGTTGGTACTCCCGCATTGCAGATATTACTCGTCTACACAAATTACGAAGACAATAATCAAGAACATTCAAGCTAAATATCACACTCACCTTCGATACGCCAAACAAATTTGAAAGTCCTTTTTTAATACCAAAAAAGCCACAACATGATCTGCGGCCCTTTCCTCCAAACCGTTGTCGACGGGGAATCATCGGAGGGTGCAAAACTTGTGATACAGCAGAAATTCTCCAAGTAGAAACGAAAGCCTGCGAGTTAAGGTTTGAGACATGTTAGGCCGCGGAAGCCTCGGAAGCAGTTAGTATGGAGGTCTCAAGGATGGGAGGGCATCTTCTAGGCTAGAAGAGAAATTCATCCCCTCAGGACTATCTTAACTTCCTGAGCCCCTGGTGAAACAGTAATGGAGATCCCACCATCAAATAAAAGAAACCCCAATTAGAATGGAAAAGATAAGTTGTATCCAAATAGTCTGTCCTACATAGTTGTAAACTCAAATAGAACATAAATGGATTATTTTTACCTTCCTGAGGCGCTGATCATTAGCTGGGCTCTTTTGGGGGCGTTAACATGACGGGTAGTCCACATGGACTGAGCTAACCGGCACTTGGCTATAACAGCCGAGTGTTGGGCACCTGCACAACGTGAGTGGATTAAGAATAAGCCTCGTATCATGTAAGTCCCGCCAATTAAAAAAGCATAATAATGGCTTACCTTACAAATGAATATTAGTCGTTAGGAAACTTACGCCTTTATACTTTATCCTCTTGGATTTGGCACGTGCTTCGAATTTCGCCTTCAAGAACATTTGACCCTGGATATATGCCAGAAATTGAAAATAAACCAAGAGTAATGAAATAAATATAAAATATGTAGAAAATAGTTATGATTTAAGACTCGTATTTTTTTGGTTCATTAACGTGCAAGGTAATGTGACTACCGTTGCACTCCTACTGGAGCTAAAGCACGGATGGGGCCTGGCCGGATCAGGTTAACTACCATATAAGTACAAATGCCTCGTACCACTTGAATGACCGGACCATCTCAGACTTCACGTATGTGTTGAATCATACCAAGCCTGACCGTCCAGAAACTCGCTGTATATACGCAGTAGCGCAAATTCATCCTCACTGACTATTACAGGATTACCCGCTACTGGTTGCCTGGGCTGACCTGCGTGCCCAGCCTTGCATTTAATTCGGATGTAGCGAAAGGCCCAGTCTTTCTCACGAACAAGTTCTCTCTAATGTATGTCAGCATACAAAGGAGATGATATAGTTACATAAATAATGGACATAAAGATGAATTGAGAAGTGATTTGGGCGTTAGCTGGTGTTATTCTACATTGTAAAATTGATTGAATATTTAATTGTCATAGATAGATAGCTGAATACGATATGATTCAAAATAAAGTTCTCTCTACAGTGCTTATGTAAGGTAATCGTCAGGGCGCACTTTGTGTTCGCACGATGTAGTTGTAGTTATCACTTTCATTGAAGAACATTAATTATTTTTGGTGTTGCTTGCGTGCGCTGACCGTCTGCTTTAACCCTTCACACTGACTCCGAAATATAAATGTAGTCCCAGATCTCATCGTTACTCTAGCCTTGCACCTTCATTTCGTACCGTTGGGTTGCTGTCGTCATTGGGGATCTATGTAATTCCCTCGGTGTATATTCCCTTTTCTTCCTCCTTTGTACACGTCCCGTTTCCATCATAACTTTTCTCATTAGGGTATGTTTAGGTAGGTGATGTGACGAGCATGGAGGTGGGTCGCAGGTGTAGGATCGACTAAGATATGCAACGTCGCAAATGTATAAGGATTTTGAGAGGTGTCGATTTTTTGAATAAGACCCCCAGATAGGCCTAAGCCCATCCGTGAATCGTGAATCGTGAATCGTGTGTTGGTGGTGGTGGGTTTTCGCTCGACTTCTTGCGGTTGTGAAATCTCTGTCGACTAGTTTCTCGACCAAAATACCGAGCACAGCTCCTTTAATCCGACAATCCATCAAATATGATTCATTCTACCCTTGTTCGTGAGTGAATATCGGCTCTGGTGGGAACATTTCACTCCCAGGCTCGTAGAGGACACCACTGACAGGTGTTCAGCCTTCGTCCTCTTGAGACTCGTGTTTTTTTGGGTTTCTGAAAAATCCGAGACGAAAAGAGTTTGGATCAAATTATCTAGCACTAATCTAGGTAGGCAGACGAAAGCTAAACATCTGTCAATAATTTCTCCTAAAACCCTCTTGCTCTCACTGCAGAGTCTCCAGAGCCGAGATCGAGTAACAGAGTCCTCACTTCGACGAGGATTCCCAGTTGCTTTCGCGGTCTGTATCATCTTCATCTCCCAACACATTCCCCTATCACCACTATCATGAAGCTAACTACAGTCAGATTAGATGTCAAGGTCGAAGCCCTTCTCGTCACCAATACTTGATCATGGAATAAAAGCTATTCCATGAGTTTCCGGAGCGCACCAAGAACCCGTTACGGAGATGGTAGATTGGATTAAGATGGCCTCTAATGTTACAAAGAAGGGAGATATAGATGAATATGCGCACCTCATGTGGTCCCGGTGTCTAGGCCTCGCCTGGCTGGGGCTGCTGGTTTTTTGAGACTTTTTCCTGTGCATGCAGTATCAATTGCTATCATTTTCATTTATTTTGAGTAGTAAGCTCCGTGTAGAAAGTTATCGAATTCCTCGCGTAAACACTGAGCTGGATGGCTGTTCATCAAGGGCAATATATCAATGATCTTTTGAGGAACATGAGATGCAAGGAGTACTGTACAAGGTGTGGCCCAGACCAGAAAGGATCCCAATGTGCTAGATAGTCTATGGCTTAGGAAGTACAATAAACATACCCCTCTCACTCTCACTATCTACCAGATTCGTTTGCCACGACCCTATTCCTCCAGCGGGTATTCGCATTCTCGTAGACGTGTATCTGGGAGCCACCACAGACTATTGTATATTCCATATGAGATGTGTTTATTGAATTAAAGTTGTAATAGGTCCTAATTATAAATTTACTGATGCTTCGATGGAGATCAGTCTCGTTGGGAGGGAGAGATTGAATTGGTGCAGGGACTTGAATCATTGCCTCGTTGGTGTTGCGGTTTGACCGTTGTTTAAGCTTAGAGGAAACCTAAGTGTTGGGAGGGTCTGGTGCACTAGTGCTTAAAGAGATAACAGGAAACGTATTGCATTCATTCTTGTGGTTCTACTTCTACTTGGTGTTCTCTGCGGGGAGAACACATATCGTGGTGTGTGGGAGCTAGTCCCATATGGGCTAGCTCCACCCAGTACGGACTCACACCAGAGGGCATTGACACCTATGATCCAACACTGGCAGTCTTTTAAATACTGCCGTCAAAACCTTTCAACGTCAAGTCCATCGACAATCACTCCATCGTTCTCTGGACGAATCCTTCCATCCTGATCGTCAACTCGTTGTCATTGACGAAGCGCTCAAGTGCGCGGTTGGGGGATGCCTTTGTCATCGCATCAGAGGGATTGTCCTTGCCGTTGATCCACCTGATCTCTGCAATCTCTCGTCTCTCATATGACTGCCTCAACGCCATGATATCAATCATCAGGCGCTTCTCCTTCGTAGTTCCCAGCTTCACAAGGCATTCGTACAGGGAGAACGAATCCGTGCAGACAACCAGGGGGATAGCTGGTAGTCCCAGTCGGTCTGTGATCATGCGAACCGTCGTCGCGATGGACAGTCCGACGTCAAAGCCGTTCACCATGCCATAGATCTCGGAGGCTAGGACGCTTCGAGTGACGCGCTTGCACTTGGTCGAGCTCCAGTGGATGAGGTTGCCACGGATGTCGAACTGGTTATCCGTGCGGGCCGTCTCGGTGACAAGCGTAAGAATGAAGCCAATCTGGGAGCTCAGGTCCTTGTTGTTGGCGAACGACCCATCGGTAAATACCATGAGCTTGGCGGTGGTGAGGTCGATAGGCACGTACCTCAGTCCACGTTGGATGTTACCCATCTGCCACTTGAGGCGGTTGTTGAGCTTTTCACATTCTGCTTCATCCGGGTTTTGAGCCTGTGCAGCCACGGACAAATCAAATGACGCGTCTGGTTGGCAGATTGACGCGATGTACGCGCCGCGAGCGCGCTGTTCCACGTACCTCTGGGCACGGTCAGTTGCCCTTGTGTCTATAAGATCAATCTTGGTCCCTTGGCCTTTCTGCTTGAGTACTACGATCTCATCTTCCAGCGTCAGTTTCGCTCCGTTGAAGTCCAGTGGTGTTTCTGGAGACAGGAGCGTCTTGGGCTTGGATCGAAACTGCGCCTTCTGGATCTTTTCTTCTTCAGTTGTCGAGAAGGCGGGTGTGGCCAAGATCAGAGTGTCGTCAGTTTGCATTCCGATCATTCCAAATGTCGTTGGGCCGTGGTTGGTGATCATCAGACATGGGTCAAATGTTGACGTTGACATGTCCAGTTCGGACGTGTGGTGGCCTTGATACGTCGCAAACCAATGGACGCCAGCTTCAGCGATGCCGTAAAGTGGCTTAATGACGCGGATGATCGTGTTCTCAGGGTAC